ATTTTATTTTATTTATTTTTTTTTTTTCTCTGTATAATATGAGCAATAGTAATAGTTCTTTCCTGTAAGAATGCTTTCCTGAAGGCACTATTAAAAATTGCTTAAATACCAGTGCCATGAATAAATCTAGTAATAAAGTCATCATTTTTTTCGCTTCCACATACCGCATTTGTTGGCGTTATGGGAAGAATTCTCAGTGTGCCCAGATAAGACTCAGAGTAAATATTGTGTGTGGATCTGTTGTATCTGTGTTCTCTTTATCAGAACACACAGACAAGAGCAAAACCTTGAAATGTCATTGCCTACGGCTGCAGCAACAATGTTATGAATTTAAGATATCTGGACATTATTCAGTTGTTGTCCTGTGCATGTCACGGTCAAAGTAGAACTAGAGAACGAGTGCATGTGTTTTTGTAGATGCAGTAAAGCAGCGTGTCTTTGGCTAATAGACATACTGGGAGACGGCTGTGATTCTTCAGAGACTGGCATGTTCCAAAATTCCTTTTGTCATTTTGATAATGTCGGCCGCTAGACAAAGCTTTTAGATGATGATTGTCCAATTATTCTATGGAAATGGGATCAGCTAGCAATACAGATATGATTGGGCTAAAATCCATTTAAATAATGTGAACGTTTAAGTGAACATCAAATATGAATACATCCTCTTGACATGGAGACCATTATTATCAATGGCAGCAGTCCAACATGCTGTAAGTCTTCAGTTGTTCATATTTATAAGACTTTTCCAGAGAAAGTGTGGTGTTTGCTAAGGCTGAACTAAAAAAAACATTTGCTGCAATCAGCAAATGCACACTGGTGGCAAGTTTTGCACAGGAACAAAACACGTCTTGTGAAAACATAAAATATTGAGCAACACTTTACTTGAGGACTTACAATAATGCATCATAAAGGTATTTATAATATATGTTGTAATGCATTATATAATTTCATTTTTTAAAAATGAAGCCTCAGTTAAACTGCATTATATTTGCAGATTTGTTACATCTGAAATTGGTTATTTGTCATGGGTTTTAAAGGAATAGTTAATACAAAAATGACAATTTGCTGAATATATAATCACCCTCAGACCATCCATGATGTAGATCAGTTTGTTTCATCATCAGAACAGATTTGGAGAAATGTAGCATTACATAACTTGCTCAGCAAGGGATGCTCTGCAGTGAATGGGTGCCGTCAGAATGAGAGTCCAAACAGCTGATAAAAACATCACAATAATCCACAAGTAATCCACACCACTCCAGTCCATCAGTTAATGTCTTGAGAAGCCAAAAGCTGCATGTTTGTGAGAAACAAATCCATCATTAAGATGTTTTTATCTTCAAACCAAACAACTAAAATATGAGTCCTCTATCCATAATACTGTTTTCTCCAGTGAAAAAGTCATCTTATCTGAATCGAGAGAACTCTGCACCGATCAAGCACCATTTACAAGCCAAAACATCTCTGAACAAATATGTGGCTGGATTTTGATGTGAGAGGCAACAGGGGATGGACTTTTTTGACTGGAGGAAGCTTTATTATGGACTCATGGATGGTTTAAAACATCTTGATTGAATTTGTTTCTTACAAACACGCAGCTTTTCACTTCACAAGATATTAATTGATGGACTGGAGTCATGTGGATTACTTGTACTTTATAATGCATTATATATAAAGGCTTCAAATAAAGTATTCCGTGTTATTTGAAATGAAATGGATTAATCAGAGCCATAGCATATGCAGAGTAGACATGTTGGCGCTCACACGGGTGACACGCTTCCATACAAACATCTTGGCATAGTGACATGAACAATGTGAATAGTTTATTTGGTAGAAGATGTTTCTAGGAGGGATTTGTGGAGGATTTTGAGCATGCTGTAGGGAAGCTTTTGAACATGAGGAGAGGGAAGCGTCGCTCTCTGGACATGCTCCATTGAGAGATCTCACTCATGGCTCCAGCTCTCTCGCTCTCGCAGGGCGTATCATCTTAGAGAGACTTGCGCCATCGTTCTGTGTTCATGCCGTGAGTCAGAGCTCTGTTGCCATCTGTTAATGCCGGTACCTTCAGAAATGCTCAAGTATGTCTAATATTAGCGTTTTTTTTTCCTCCTCTTGCCCAGCGCACATCCCATTGGAGGCAGTGTCCTGGGGGAGGCCATCTGTTCGTGTGGCTCTGGGTTTGGCCGGAAGTCGTAGGGGACGCTTGTCCAGCTCCTGTCTCAGCATTGCCACTGTGGAGCATGTGAAAGCAGTGATACGAGTAAATGACTGTGGGCTTGTGACCTTGCTTGCATCATTTTGATAATTGCAATGTATGTTACATCATCTCAGTGCTGATATAGATAAAACTATGATTTAGAAAGACCAACATAAGCCACTCCGTACATTATGTTCATTACACATGTTACAAAAAATACATTTATACGGTGTGTTTATTTTTGTTTGAGCGTGTTTATGATAAGTTTAATAGTTAAACTTGATTCAATATTCTTATTTTAATCTCTTAACAATTGTGATAAGAACATTTAAATCTCTTAAAGTCAAACTCAGAGTTTATCGCTAACACATACTGAGTTGTTTACTACTGATAAAGACATTTACGCATTTAAGCCGGTGGCCTTATTGACATATTGTTATTCGACAAGCCAGATTTGTTTGTGAGGAGAGAGGTGAAATCTTGCAAATAAGTGTAATGTGAGACACGGTGAGATTTGCCTGCCGTGCTGGCAGCCGTGTGTAGCTGATCTCTGTGCATGAGTGAGTGGACGCAGAGCTGCATGTGCTTATTAATGTGTGTGTGCCGTACAGTCCAGGACTGACATAAATAGCTGACTGTCACTCACCGCACTGGCTTTCAATCTTAAGAGAATTGTAACATTACAAAAACAATAATCTCTGTCCCTCTCTCTCTCTCAGCTCCTGTCTCAGCATTGCCACTGTGGAGCATGTGAAAGCAGTGATACGAGTAAATGACTGTGGGCTTGTGACCTTGCTTGCATCATTTTGATAATTGCAATGTATGTTACATCATCTCAGTGCTGATATAGATAAAACTATGATTTAGAAAGACCAACATAAGCCACTCCGTACATTATGTTCATTACACATGTTACAAAAAATACATTTATACGGTGTGTTTATTTTTGTTTGAGCGTGTTTATGATAAGTTTAATAGTTAATGGAGATTTAAGTATATTTATACTTAAATATTTATTTTACACACACACGCACACACAATATTAAATCACCATTTAAATCACCATAAAATATATAATTATATTCACATAAAGCATTTGTAAAATTTTTATATATACATGTATACATTTTGTAATTTATATAGTAATAGAATTAATTATATAAAATTGAATATAACTAATTTATATACAATTATAATTAATAATATAAAATAATAAATATAATTTATAGGTTTTTACATAAAGCATTTCTATATAAACTCTCTCTCTCTCTGTTGAATAGGCTACACCTGTCTGATTCAGATAGTGGGAGGTTTTATCATCCTAGCTATTTTTCCAGTGCAGAAATTAAATGATAAAGTCAGCAATTTGAAGAGCACGGTATGTATGTGTGTTGTATTCACATACAGACTGAGGACGGGAGAAATATGTACTTCTCTCTCTCACTTGCTCTTTTTATCTCTCTCAATGCAAATCATTTGCATATCGAAAAGGTGAAAGTTTCATCGTTTATGTTTGAAAATATTGCTGTGCAAGTACATTTTCTTAACCTCATAGAAGTAACACATGAAGTGCATGGATTTGGATTAAAGCTGAACAAAGTCAATGTGAAATTCTGTTTGCAATCCACTTTATTTCTTTAATTTGATTCATGTCCAAGTGAAACAGGATATTCGCTAAGAAAAAATTGTATTTTAGGGAAAAAAGGATAGAAATGAAATAAAAATTAATACTGTCAATTTTGATTTAATTTACTTGAAATCTTGTTTTAGATAAGTGTTTTTAATTTACTCTTGTGAACCATATAACAATATTCACAATATACAGACAACAAATACAGCATTCACAGTTGAATGTGTATTAAATTACTGTATTTTTTCCTAAATTAAATGAACTTCTTAGATTATTCCTGCTGAAACTTTAAGATTGAAAGTTGTAATTTGATGTGATATTTATAATTTATGAAATTTGGAGTATAATTTTTTTTTTAAATGCATGCATGCTGTTTTGCATATATATTATTTTTGAATCTGTTCAAACAAAAATATCTTATAAAACTTACTGTAAATACATGTTTCTCATGTATCGTTCATCTTTTCAGGCCTATGTCATATATGATGCTTTGTATTTATTGTTTATGGCTTGCTGGCATTGTCGTTCTCTGATTATAGGCCTGTTTGTTGTGCCATGTTCGCAGGAGCTAAATTCCATGTGTTTTTTATACACCTGACCTGTCATGAAAAGAATAACAATGAACTGAATAAATTGTTTGTTGATTTCATTGAAAGTTTGGCAGTTGATGGGAAAGAGCTACACAGACATTGATTTATTACTAACATCTGTGCACACATTTCATTTTCCTGTAAATGTACTGAATAAGTGTTAATTGTTAATGTTATTTATGTTAATGAAAAGATGAGACCAAAAACTTTAAAGGATTATATTTGTATTTTAAACTATTCTGTATTAGTTGCTTGAGTTAAAAACAAAAGCAGTAATTTTTAAGAGTGTGAACTGCAGCATTTGAAAGAAAACACTTAGACTTCTTGATTTTTGTCCTGACATTTTGCTATGGGTTGCTTTTCTGGTTTGTGCTGGGAAACAGAAATACAGACAGCTGTCATATGTCAGCTCAGACGGCATGTTCTCCAGCATGAAGCAGCCAGTGACGCATTCTGACTGCAGACAAGACAGTATGTGCAACTGCGGTGCTTTGACAGAAGCTTGTTTTCTTTTGACCTGTAATCATACCCATCATCCAGCAGTAAAGGATCTCTGTTATCTCCAGAGCCTTGCACGAGTTATCCAATCTGGGGCCATTAGTGCAGAGTCCTGCACTACACGGCTTTGCATTCAAGAGATAAAAAATTAACCAGTTTGATATCTTTTTTCTATCATGCACAGGTTTGGATAGAGGGCGAAAGAGAAATTCCCAGTGCTCAGCCACACAACATGACGTCAGAAACCTGATCGGCTGAGGGAACGCTGAGAGAGAGAGAGGATAAACGAGACGTGCAGATAATTACGATTATTAACGAAGTCAGTGAGACAGAACCCATTTCTGAGCTGCTAAGGGCGCACAGAAAATAGCTCAGGAAGAAAACTCTAGTGTGAAATGACGGCTGGTGCATTAGTGAGAGTCTGACAGGAGAGAAAATGGACAAAGTTTGATGATGTAATCAACAATAGGCTACAAAAGACACAAATGCTCATTGTCCTTTATTACACTATCAAACGTAACAACATGGAGCTACTTCTACTTGATCTGACCTATAAAAATGACTTTTTGTTTAACACGGTGTACATTTAATCATATTAAATAACATATTTGACTTGATTAAAAACAGTTAATGTATTTTCAGGTTATCATTCAGAAGTATTTACTATGAAAAGTACAACAAACCGTTCTGAATATTGATCAATTAAGGGCTGTCTTCATTTCGATAAAGTCTAATTAGCATGAACACTGTTACACAATGATGTCTGCATTCTATCATCATGAAATTATACTGTGGCATAATTTTATCATCATGATATTTTGGGACATGATTTTCGGTATTTTCATTGATTTCATCAGATGCTTTGAGAGTGAGAATGGGTTTGGCTTTTTAAATGGATTTGTGAGTGGATTTGCAATAAATATATTTTAATACAATAATAAATATGTGACCCTGGACCACAAAACCAGTCATAAGTGTAAATTTCTCAAAATTGAGATTTATACACTGTAGCGAATCAGCTCATACATGGGGAAATATGAATAATTAATCATAACTAGTTATAATTAATTATAAATATTTAGATCCGCTGTAGATATTTACTTGACCTCTCAGGGTCAACTGTCTGTCAATTCTAAGAACGTTAACACTGTGTCTCTTCCTTATGAAAAAGGCAGTGATTTTCCCTACTTACATTTCATTAGGTCGTAAATGTATCTGGTGTCAGGGTTGCCATGGTAACCAGGGGGGGCCTGGTGTCGTTGCAGACATCCTAGCATCCAGTTTATTGGGTGACGGGACTGTGACGATTTGTTAATCTAATGAATAACTGATTTGTTAAATCAAATGAAAAATTGTGTGTTTGATTGGTCCAGACGCTACAACACCATTGATGTATTGTTTGTTATGATAGGAACATATTTTGCCGAGATACAACTATTTGAATATCTGGAATTTGAGGGTGCAAAAATATCAAAATATTGAGAAAATTGCCTTTAAAGTTGTCCAAATGAAGTCCTTAGCAATGCATATTACTAATCAAAAATTAAGTTTTAATATATTTACAGTAAGAAATTTACAAAATATCTTCATGGAGCATGATCTTTACTTAATATCCTAATGATTTTGGCATAAAAGAAAAATCTATAATTTTGACCCATACAATGTATTTTTGGCTATTGCTACAAATATACCTGTGCTACTTATGACTGGTTTTGTGCTCCAGGGTCACATATATGAATGTATGTGATGTTTCAGTGAATAAAAGCTGTTTCTTTATTTAGAGCTCTGTTTCTTGAGTCAAAAAGATGAACCAGTATGATCAAATGCTTGTTTGGTGTCTCACACCCGTATCACCGTGAGAAGAGTGCAGGCAGCCTGCAGAGTATTTTCCCCATCAGTGACTTCTCAGTCTACAGCTGCTGTTCTTTATCCACTCTGTTTCTGTGAATTTCAGTTTAGCCTGAGCTCATTTGAAATTTGCAAAGGTTCAAAAAGTTTGTTTGCCTTGAAGCTCTGCCTCCTCTCGTCCTCTCTTCCTCTTTCTGTCACTCTGTAATTAACACAGACTCCTCCAAGAAATTTTTCTTTGAGTGAATCTCACAAAAACATGTCCCAGTCATGTTAATAATAATAATAATGATGATGACAGATAATGATGATAAATATTTTTATATAATTTTGTTATTGTTATAATAATGAAGCTTCTCATACAGTTTTTTTTTTTTTTTTACTGTATTTCAGTAACAAAACAAAAGCGGTATAACAGTTTTTTTTGCATAATTAATAAATACTTCTCAATTAAAATATTTCATTATTTTATGTATTAATGAGAATTTGGGGAAACATTTATGTAAATCTCATAGAAGTCACATTTATACTACTACTAATAATAATAATTGTTGTTGTTATTAAAATAAAAAAAAGTTAAAAAAATACACTATAATACATTATAATAAATAATTATAATTATGGTGGCTCTTATACAGTTTTTACTGTACTTTCTTAGAAAATACTATAATGAATTAAGTCAAATTGACAAAGACATTTTAGCATGATAAAAACTTCAGAATTTAAAAACTTTTTCATTATTGTCTGTATTATTGAGAATTTTGGAATCATTTTTCTTAATCATCCTGAAATCCTTTGTAAAGCAACATATAATCAACATATAATTTCCTATTTCTTTCTTTAAGATTTTTGAAATATGACAAGGATGTCCATCTTTTGCACTTCTCAGTGTCTGTGCTTTATGCAATTTGCATATTAACTAAAAATGCTCCATTGGAAATCATTTTGGTTTTTATATAACATTCATCAACCTCAGAACCATAATACTGAGCCTGCCTTTTTAGCCAACGAGACTTCAAATTTAATTAACGCATGAAAGAGCGGGTGGCCAATCCCCTTACTGACACAGAGGCAGGGCTTTGAAGACTCTTGAGCGCTAATGAAACTCTGGCAGTCCTGATGTGATTAGTGGGTGTGTTGCTGGCTTTAATTGAATTGTTGACCCCACCCATCCTTGTGTGCAGGTATAAAGTAATTGAGTAGCTTGATCTGGAGGTCAAAGGGCGCAGCAGGCTCTAAGAGTCAGACGCTGTCCCTAAGGGCTCGTGAAGGATGACGCCGAGCTGTTGTTGCATTGTTTGCTGTCTGTATGGCGCGGGGAGCTCATCGCAGACCCTGACTAATCAGCCGGATTAGATAGAGGCCCTGACCTGTGTGCTTTCAATCAGTGATGATACGACTGTCTGCGTAGACAACATAACAACCAATGCAATCCATTAGTGTGTGTAAACCCAATTGACATGGTAGTAAGAGTACAAGGAAATGCTTTCATACTGCAAGGCATAATAACGAAATGCTATGAAGATTAATTCAGTCAATTCAATTTGCACAAAAACTCTGTTTTATAGTCCATACTGCTAAATACAGTGTCTCAGAGACCTTTATCTAGTCATTGTCATTGAATTAAAAGACATGCATATGCACAGTCAGTGCAATCACATCTTGATTTGCACTGCGATCTTACTGTTTGTGACGTTTGGCTTTTGTTTTCCAGGTTACGCATGACATGCATGTTCTCCAACACCTACATTTCCTTTCTCCAACTTTCACTTGATGTTTGTTTTGGGGGTTTGTTGGTACTCATATTGTTGACAGTGACAACATTGAGGCTCATCCAAATAAGGGTGACTAAAATAGATGACAGTTGGAATAGGATATGTCACACGATTAGGATCGCACTGCAATGTACAATGCAAGAAAGATTCACTACATGACAGGTTGTGCACTGTAAATGAGACAGTAACGCTTTAGGTTATGCATTGATTTTGATGCACAGAGTAATTATACTCAAACATACCATCATAGAGCTGCACATATAGAATAAATGGTTTACGGTCAAGTGAGATTGCTTAGATAGTATCTTGATGAATGTTTTCATAAAAAACATCCACAATAACGGCATTCTTCTCATGTCCCATTATCTGAATACTGTTACTGGCATTTACTTGACCGAGTTTGAGTGTGCTTTCTGTTCTTTATACTGTTGTGGCATTTACATATTTAGATATTCGCTTATTTTTGAGCAAAGCAGCGAGGATGGTTATTTCATTATTTCGAGCTGGCATATTTGTCTGTGCATCAGCCCACTCAGGGGAACTGAGCTGCTGGGAGATTCAGATGAGCCTTTCAGTGTTTCATTTTCCCGCGCCTTATCTCTTTCCCATGCGGAAGCCATGGATAAAAGATTTATGTCCTATAGGGGCCGAGCCATCGGCCCCCCTTCTTTATTTTGGTTGTTTTTTCTCTTGAAACCAAAGGAAGGAAATCATTTTTATTGGATGGAGTATTAAAAATCAATCTGTAGTATCACAGCTCACTGCCAAAAATATTATCTATTGTACCGATCTGAAATGCTTGAGAGGTTGTACATTTCTGCCTATTTTGAAATGCTTGAGAGGCTGTTAATTTAAGAGGCAGAGCAAAAAAGAAATGTTTCCTCGATGGCTGAGAGTGGAGAGCAGGTGTGTGCTTGGTAAACCGGATTGCAGCACTGATCATATTGTACATGCTAAAAGAGAATATGAGAAAATCCTCATTAAGGGCGCGTGAATGCACATAAATCCATATAGGTAAAATGAATTATGTGATTGTAAATTAACTTAAGCCATTTCTCTTTAATGAACTTAAATAGGATTATGGGTTGGTCTGTACATTATAATGAGTAGTTGAATAACATATTCTGGTTCGAGTTCTTTGCAGGGCTTGTTATAAAAATCAATACAGCGTCTTCTGGCACTCTGCACAAGGTCAAGAAATGGCATGTTTGTAATATTCCACCTCCATTTGTAAGGATTCCAAAATGCAAGTGCCAAAATACTGAATACTACAAAATAACTGGGTTGATAGTGAATCCATTCTATACACGTATTAAACTATAACATTTGTTTTCTTTTGTGTGTGTCTATACATGTTGATGCATCAACTTACAGTATTTGGTCTTAAGCAGAAAAAGTCACTGACAATTTGTGATTATTTTCACTGATGGCATCAACAAGCATTACCTAAATAATTATTTATGATTAGCTATCTTAATACTTGAATTAATTATTTCCATGTTTGAGTAGCCTATAAGTGAAAAGTAGTTCTGGTCCTTAAATCTGATTGGTCGAGCAGCGTTCAAAGAGTGCTGATATAACCATTCAAAAGCACTGGGTCTTTTAACTGTTTGTATCACTCTGTTGTGGGTATTTGTTATAGTCATACTCATTCGCATATGCGGAGCTTATGTAAGGCTTAGCCTTCCCCTGGCCATGGAGACTTGGGGCAAAAATGGCACTAAATTGGACAAAAATACCTTATAAATACCAAATAAATTAAATCTATTACGTCTGTTGCTAACAAAGTCAATATGAATAGACAGTGTCGATTGCGGCAATTCCGGACTCTTGCGAATTCTCTCATCATAAACAACAAAGCGCAGATGTACGTACAATGTAAGTAAGGGATTCATTTCACAGTGTATACAGCTTCAGTGATTATAACGATAGTTTTGTTTTTTTGAGAGTGCTTAAACTCGCGATAGATCAATGTTAGTGATAATGTCACTGTCTATATATAATTTATTCGCTGTTTGAATAACTGTGGAAAGGAAACATTATATAATTATCAATTATCAAACGTTTTTATTAAATTGTAATCACGTTAAATACAAATTCAGTCCCATTAAAAAATTTTTTAGCCTACATGACACCCATGTCTGGTTCTTGCCTAAAAAGACGGGTTTATTATGTTTAATACATTTGGCTGCTCTTAGCCTTACCCTGGAGTTGGTTCACCCTCCGCCTATGCTCATTCATGATGATGGGGATTTTACAGTGATTGTTTTTTCAGGTTAAATCGTTACGTCAGTAGGTGGCGACAAATTATGTGTTTTTAAGTGAGTCATTGACTCATTCATTCAACCAATTCGTTCAAAACACTGATTCGTTCATAAGGGGTTAATTCTGCTTTGGCTTGGATCGGCGCTATTTTCGTTGTCGGAGCAAACACAGAAATTAAAATATGTAAATTTTAGTGTTCATTTTAGCCTGTCACTACTTTTCCCCATTTGCAGTCTCTGCCAACTAAAATAGAAGCCAAAGCATCAATCTTTACGTTCACAAATCAACACTACAGTGACCAAAAACTGAATATACTTAGCAAACACTGGGGAACTTGTGAGAGGTCGATGGTTTTTTTCTTAAAATGAGGACCTACCAGCAAATAAAGCGCACAAAGCAGTTTGTCTCGACATGGCTCTCTTTTCTAGGTGGCAGTGATGACACAGTTTCTCGGGATGCCCTAGAAAACAGTGTAGGATAACATGAAATACACCCACACACGTATACAGGACGCTTCCGGTGTCCGGTGTGGAATGAAGCGCATCAGTGCGTGCGTGCGTGCGTGCGTTTGTGAGCGCGAGACAGACTGAGCGCACATCATCCAGAGCTCGCGAGGGAAGCGCGAAACCTGTCCGCACAGCGCGCGAGGAGGAGAGAGCTCAACTATGAAAGCCGGTCCCGAAAATACTCTTATTATTCCATGAAAACGGACCTTTTACAGGCAGAACACGTTCATGGAGGATATATTATACTTGAATTTTCTTCTCTGTGCACGCGCAAGGTGTCTGTGGAGAAGAAATATCGGGATTTGAGTCAGGGGCTGCTGAACTGAGGAGGATTTTATCCTGTTTCACTTCTGAGGAGAAAATAGTCTCAGCTGATGCCAACGACCAGAGAAAATATAGAAACGACACTAACCGATGAGGCGCTGAAGAGTAAGTTGAGTTTTTAACATTTCTGTTACCGTTCAGATGTGTTGTGATGTTATTTTATTTTATTCGGCAAGCCCTGTTGTTCTTCGACTTGTCACTTGACATTCATTGGAAGCTAATTTGGCAATTATTTTAATATGTATTTAATATATATTAATATAGCCTATAGTTTTTAGCTTGTCAGTTGCTTGTATTCTATATAAATGAGCTCGTCTCATGGTCGCATATCAGCACTTGGTGGCAATTGTCAGATCTTTAACTCAAGATTTCGATGTATTTGTTATTAAAAATGTTTAAATCAGTTCGGGTACGTTGAGAATGATGTGACCTATTATAAAACGCGAATCTTCTTAATGCTGTGGTAAGCACGCAATACAAATGAAGTAGGCTACGTGCGATTATTGCACACATACTTATTCGTATAGCTGTTGTAGGTAATTATATGAAAGTGCAAAATGTGTAACATGGACATGGTAATGTGAAGTGTTGCAATGGCTTGTTGGTTATGTGATGAGCTGTCCGTTTGGGAGTCTGGATGAGAGAAACTGGAGGAAATCTGAAGGCTGCAGCACTGAGTCATGGGCAGGTCCGCGCGCTCCATCTCTCCGTCTCAAATCGCATCTTCTCTTCAGTTCGCAAATGACATTTTCGTGTTAAAGAAAGACAGTTTTCGGTGTATGATAGTTATGTTAATACTAGTTTCAGTGGACTTGTAATTGGGAGGAAATGCTTATACACAACCCCAATCTGCTGCGAGATATTGCCTGCTATAAAACAACCGTGTTTAAGTAGACACTGGAGACGCCACCACATCAAAATAAGACTCGATGACTAATTATCTGCATGCACGAAACTACTTTAAACCCCGGGTTAGGCTGAAAAAAATGATCATGTTGTAGGGTTAGGATTGCAGTGATTGCATTTATTATTTTCTCTTATTTAGAGATTTTTAGAAGTGTAATTCAGAGAAGTGTAATGTCCCTCCTTATTCTAAATACACAGCAGCAGGACGCTTTTGATGTCATGCACCTTATTGGCAAACATGTATATATTCATATCTATAATGGATAGTTACAGCTATATATAGAAAGATGTAGATTTATTCTTGTAAATTCTTGAGAGAGAGAGAGAAAGATAGAGAGAGAGAGACAGAGAGAGAGAAAGATAGAGAGAGACAGAGAGAGAGAGACAGAGAGAGAGAGACAGAGAGAGAGAGAGAGAGAGAGAGAGATATTCATGACATATTGGCAGAAATGGTCCTGTCCAAACATTTTTTCCCCCTACAGATCTACTGACGTTTTTTCCAGTATTCATGGTGCTGCTCTAACATCATAATACTATATGCATACTAATGGCATTAAAAAGAGAAGAGGTTGTCCCATCCATTTCAAATCTGCCATTAATTGTTCAATTAAATGCATTTTTGTAATCATGGTTCCAATGTGAAAGAAAAAAACTGTGCAGTTGTTACAAACTATTTCTTAAATAGGCCTTCTATCGAATGTCTCCTAGATGAATTTCTAAAATATGTAAATTTGTCTCTTAAATGAAGGATTCCATTTCAGTATCAGACAGTGTTTATTGCTGATGCGCACCAGGTCTGGACATCTGTATCCGTTTTGAACCTCTGGCCTAAGCTGATGATTTCCAACTCTGGGTGGAGATGTGGAGGCCGCAGCAAATGCAGAGAAAACACAGCTTTAGCTAATTAGATGTTGGAGAGCTGCTCTTCTACTCTATCCAAACAGCATCTCTCTCTTGCTCTCTCTCTTTTAGCAGCTCTGCCCATGCTCATTCAGGCTCTCCATGCTGATAAATGATGTGTAATTTCAGTAATGAGTGGGAGTGTAAACATATGTGAAGAGAAGTAGTTTTCCCCCCCACCTTTATTTTATGATGTACCACAGTTTCTCCACACCATGACAGGGTGATGCAGCAGGTAAACCACCTCACAGTAATGGCAAGTGCAGCTACGCATTGAACATCTATCTCTCTAGTAACAAAGGTGTCTGAAATATGACTTGGATGGCATATCGTGAGGTCAGTGTTTGTGCAGATTGAAAATGTGAGTGATGCTGTCACTGGCTTACACATCTCACATTCTGTTTTTCCTGAGAACCGTTTTGCGGTTCACATGTTATATGCATGTAAACGGCATCATATGGAATAATGGTTCATGGGGAAAGGGCTAGAAGACCTTGGTGCATTGTATTGCGTGTGGATTGACCAATCTGCAGACCAGTTGTGGCGCTCACATTTAATTCCCGCCAGTGCACTATAACAGAGCAGCTAGGGTTTTCAATTACCCTTGCTTTTGTTTGTTGTTCGATCAGAGTCTGGAAGGCAGTCTTTTTGTTTCATCCCAGCATAGATCAAGGGCCAGACTCAATCAGCGGGACTTATAGACAGGGACAATAGTCACAAGCTGCTACAAAACAAGCAGAGGACAGCAATCTATAACAAGTAAACTGGTCTATAATATATGGGCCATTCATATCTTAGGTCTGTTTCACAATGCACACACAAGTGTATTAGTGAAGCAGTAACGTTACTGTAATTGAGCCATTATTTAGGTTTACATGCCCTAATTTTCATCTGATATTGATTCTGAAATTTTTGTTTATATGAACCCTAAATGTTGCAATCCGATTCACAGTTTATATGTGCATTACATGTATTCCAAACAAACCTTTTTGCATTCAAAACTGGAGAAAGCACCGCAATAATACCACCAGATGTAGCTAGTTGTAGTTTTAGCCTTGATGACATATCTAAAAGGAAACCTGACATTTACATTAGAAGAGCTTTTTAGAAGATATTTATTAAATATTCAGTTTCATCTGACCGGTTTGAAACACGTGATACACATGTTCGTATAGTGTGAAGTATAAGTAAACATATGCATCAAGGCACTGCGCATGTGCGCGAGAAATTTTTGGAACCAATTGAGAAAATAGTCAGGTTCAAGCATTTATATACTTAATTTGTTTCCTCTTAATGAGGTTATTTCAGGTCTACAATACCCCTTTCAAGCTCAATTAGATGTTTACATGAAGGCTTTTCAGTCCGATTGAGCCATCAATTCTATTATAAACAGATTATTTGGGTGCATGTCGATGTAGCTATTGAGAATTATTACAGACTTGATTGTCATAAAATCTAATTTACATGAGGATGGTGTCACATTTACATGCAAATCTAATCCAACCCCCAAAGTACTTAAATCATTTGCATTCAGAGGCAATGCACCAGCCTCATTTGACCAGTCATCTCAGATTTTCTCTGAAGGTCTTGAACACATTCCATCAAGTTAACCAGAACTGTTTTGTCTTTGTTAAAGTTCTGGGTTTTAGACTCTGACACATGAATTGCTGCATTGACAGTATTACAGCACCATTACAGTGGCAGCTAGGACAACTCATTATATTTTCTGAAGCTTCACATGCAAGGCTTAAGATTTAAGGCACAGTTCATGTGTAGAAAAAGGGAATTCTCTATTCACTCAGTTGAAAGGAAAAACAATGATAGATTGCTTGCAGTTCTCACAACTAACAATAATACAAAACATACAGACATTTTGGCAAGCTGCATAGAGGCCAGTGCTACAGTACATCAGAACATAAAATATACAGTAAACAAACTGGTTTTGATATAACACAGCTCTATAGCTTTTACACTGGAATCTGGGATAAAACATTTGATTAGTTTTGTTTTGTATCATTTTTACTGGCAAACATTGAACAAGACTTGAAATGTGTTTTGCTTTAATCCTCATGCCTGCAGTGGTTTTAAATGTGACTTTAGTAGGTCTGTGTGGACAAATAGACTGTAATTATTTAGCAAATACCACCCAAAATATATAGCACACAATATCTTTTAGGTATTGTTAAAGACTACTCATTAATTTTGATTGGCTTTTAAGAGTAAAGTGTGTCTTGTGTACCCAGTTAGTATTTATTAGGTTATCGTAAGACATATATTTGTATAATATTCTTAAGAACGTACATACAATCTGTGTACATGCAAATAATCAAGTTCAATACATTAAAATAAGGTAAAATGGAAATACAGTTTGCAATAACGGTTTTGTTCAGTATTTATAATGTTTTTTTTTTTTTTTTGAAATGGCTTCATATTTAGCTGTTTATCAAAACAGACAGGTGTAAATTACTTGCAAAAGAGGTAAATGAGCAATCTGAACTAACAGACAGGAAAGCAATGAACCAAACGACACAAACACTTTTTACATTTATCACATTCATGCAGACCAGACTTATATATTAGCTATTAGGGCGGTCTGTGATGAAGTTGTCTCTTTCTCACTCTGTGCTTGTCTGTGCATCTATTAAAGACTGTGAAGGACCTAAATATGCATCTATGTGAGTAGCATTAAAAGGTTAGTTCACCCAAAAATGAAAATTAGCCTGTGTTTTACTCACCCTCAAAGCATCGTAGGTGTATGTATGTCACTTCCTTCTTTCAGACGAATCCAATCGGGAGTTATATAAAAAATTGTCCTGGCACCTCCAAGCCTTTCAATGGGGGTAAGCGGGTGTTTGTTGTCAACAGTTCAGAAGACGTGAAATAAAGTGTGCGCATCCGTAATAAAACGTCCCTCACATGGCTCCGGGGGGTGAATAAAGGCCTCCATGCGTTTTTGTAAGATAAATATCCATATTTCAAACGTAATAAACACTTTTTTCTCACTTCCGCTGACTGTGTTACGTGGAAGCTGTGCAGGCGGATGACGTAGAACGTCGGCATTGCGTTATTAGTGACGAACGCGGAGACAAAACAAGGCTAAATGCGCACGGCGCATATGTCTTACGTCATCCACCTGAACGTCTTCCACGTACCACAGTCAGCGCAAGTGAGAGAAAAGTGTTTATTACGTTTGAAATATGGATATTTATTTTACAAAAACGCATGGATTCGCTACAGGAGGAGCTTTTATTCACCCCCCGGAGCCGTGTGAGGGACGTATTATTACGGATGCACGCATT